AAATATTTAATCAAAAAGCCATATTTGAAATTTCAAGTGCTCCTCTTTTTTTAATGCTTAGTAGCTCTGTTTTCAACGAGACGGCCATAGTGATGGGAGCAGAGAAATCCACATAGAATCTCCCTGGGATTATTCTCTGTTTCTTTCCTATCCCTTCCTCCCCTCTTGTTTTTCTGAGCATTTACTGACAAGCCAGAGTGTGGTCTAAGAAAGGAGACAGAAAACTTAAACAAATAATTGCCCCGAGGTAGATAAGATTATTTACAATTCCTTTTTCCCTTCTTCCGCTCCAAGGCTTCCCTGTGGGTGGAGCACACTCTTCCACCCCACTGACTTTCAGTTTGGCCATGAGACTTGGTGTAATTTATGGAATGAGAACAGAAGCGACTGTGTGCCAATTCTGAGCAAAAGCTTGCTTGTTTCTGCTTGCCTTCTTGCTCTCCAGCACTCCTCCATGGAAAGAACATCTTACAGGTCCCTGCAGCCCCAAAATGAGGAGACACAGGGAGCAGATCTGAAACCCACTCCACAGCCTAGATCCATGCTCACTTGAACAGTCAATCTCAGGGCAAGCCCAGAAGAGACACAGGCACCTCGCAGTCCTGTGAGCAAGAAGAAATGTTGTAAACCATTGAGATTTGGGAGTTGTTATGCAGAATAATTGTGATGCAACTGGATCATCAGCCCCAAGTGCCAAGAATGTCATAATATTAATATATTGTGTTAAGAGCTAGGGTTTGGATAAAGTTGAATCTAGAGATTCCCCACCCTGCCAAATTTCTATCTGCGTACGTGAATGTGTGCATTGTGTATAGTGTGCGTGTGTGTGTGTGTGCACCTGACATGCTATGTTCAAAAATCTCTGATATGACAATAAGTTTAAAAGACTAAAATAAGGTATGCATAGTGACACTTGTGTACTTCTGCAGATGATATGAAGCATAAAACATGCACCAGACCTGATCCTTAGCCAGTCTCTACAAAACAGGATGAAAGAAAAGTGATGAGGGTAGATCTCTAACAGGAATTGTTAACAGGATCTCTAACAGGAATGATCGTTGAAATCATAAAAGAAAGGGTAAGGTGTATATAATATTGCTGTATAGCCAAGATTTCTCCAAAGTTCCCTAATGTGGATTCCTTCTAGTACTCAGTGTTTAAAAATTAAAATTACGTTTTGTCTCTTCTACTGATTTTCTCTATTCTTACCCATCCTCATACTTACTTCCTTCACTGCCAAGGTCTTAACTGAATATTGAAATTACATTTATACTAAAAAATAATTGAAATATTATTACTATCCCCTCTTTCACCCCTGATGAAATGAATCCTCCTAAGAAGGACTAGCTTTCCATATCTAAAAAAAAGATTACAGAATGCTGAGATCTCAAAGAATTCAGGAGTAAAGTTCTGGGGTGAGTGGATCTTGCCTTTAACCAAACTATCTAATATATTCTGTGTATTGATAGGGCTAGCCCTGGGGGAGGAACAGAGAGAGAAGATATTCAGCTGTAGGAAGAGGGCCAAGCACAAATACATCTTCTTTCCCTGTCTTTCCAGGCTTTCTTCCACCAGAAAAATCACCTCTAGTCCACTTCTCAATTCATTTGTAGTTTATTCCCTAAAGTCTGAGGGCTGGGTGTTGTTGATCAGAACTTTGGAAGTTCTTAGTTTTTGACAATTCCATGTGATTGTCTTGTAAATGTGTCCAAGTTAACATGTTTTAGAAAAGAACTCACAATTAACCTTTCCCCCAACCTTTCCCTATTAGTAACTATCATCTCTACTTGCCTAGTTACTTACTTGAATGCCACTCCTGCATTTCTCTGAATCTTCCGTGCTCAATTCATAAGCAAATCCTGTCTGTTTTACCTCCCAATATATTTTTTCAAAAACATTTACTTCTTTCTAAAGCCATCTGCTACTCTGTCTCTGTTGTTACCAATCTTGCCAGACCATCATCTGCTGTGGACCACAATAGCTTGCTTGGTGGACTCCTTGCTCCCACTCTACCTCTTCTATCTGGTCTTCAAACAGAAGTCAGTGTAATTGCTCCCCTTATTAAAATTCATCAGTGGTCCATTGCTGCACCCAAATTAAACCCAATCATTATGAAGTCCTATGAAGTCTTCCTTGATAGGTGCCATGGTCATCGCCATTTTATCTCACTCTGCCCCAAGCACACGGTGTAAGAAAGCGCTCCTAAAGTTACACAACCTTGAAAATTTGCTTGGAATAGAATGCATATATCACCTTCCTATGGCCACCTGATACAGACACTGCAAAAATGTGAAAGAGTTCAAGTTTCAAGGAATCAGTCACAGGCGTGTTCTTGCTTTGAGAGACTACATGCTTGATTTATCATGACATTGTAGAGGCTGATGCAATAGAAAATATCAGAGAGGAATATCAGCTCTGTAGTTCTCTAGAAGCTGGCTAAAGTACATTCTTTGAGATTTCATTCTCTGAGTCTTACTTAAGCAATTTCTAAGCTCGTTCTTATCTTACAGGAGATACATTGACACAGAGCCTAGACAAAACACTAGGCAAAGAACACAGATTAATGATTTATTGTTTCACTCTCCGATGTTTGATAGTCAATTTTCCTGAATGTAACTTTGTTTTCCTACTTCCTAGAAACTGTCAGTAGGTAAATTCTGGGTGTTTTAGTGGCAAGACTTTCAGACTTCTGAGGGTTCTTTTGTGAGACTGAGAGCAGAAGATCTTAAGGTGCATGGTCTCACACATGTGTTTCTAAATGCAAGTTGTAACGCCCTCACCTCCTGTCTCTCTGGCCCAATAAAGTCACAGAATCAGAATTGCATTTTTAAAGAGATTTTCTACTCTTTCAAATGTCTCATCCAACAGATTAATTCTTGTTGTTTATCCTGGGTTCTTGGGGTCAGCCCTGCTAAAACTGGATGTAAGTAATTCATTATGCTAAACCTTTTATTCCTGACTTATCCTGAATTCTAAGACGATACAGTCAACTTCTTTTAAGGTATCACTTTCTCAATCAATTCTTTTTGTGGGTCAGAGTCACAACTGTCATCACGTTTTTAGATGTCATTGTCTCTATGATCAGAGAGATGGAGAGGTTTTATACACGTGTATGTGTATGGTTGAACTCATGGCTGAAAATTTATTTCTTCTCTAAGGTCTTGTGGAAATTAAAGCCTTTTAAAAATGTCTCCTATTTCTTGAGAAAAAAATATGAAGCAGTCCTAGTCATTCTTCTTTTTTTTAAGTTGTGCCTTAATTCTGTGTTTTTAATTTATTGCTTGCTTTATCTCTGCATCCTCTACTCACATTTCCATACAGCCCCAATTCTAGCTTACTCTGTATATAAGCGTCTTTCTGTCCTGTCTTGTAGAAGCCACAGATTCTCTTTTTTCTGACTGACAGCATACAGACAAATGAGCTTTCATTTCTGTTTAGCTCATAAAGATCAGTGAGTAAACTGGCGATTTCCTTTACAAATTAACCATGAAATTTCCACTATTACCCAGATATTACTCCTGCAACATTTATCCTTATGTAAATAAGTATTGAGTCTTACTAATTTACATTTATAAACAGATTTATAATTTCCACATGAACAATATTTTAGAAAACATTAGTTGATGCGAACAATTTTGAAAATACAATTACTTGCTAATAAAAGTAGACATTATTTTGAAAGACAACCATTAAATTTTAGTGAGGTAGATCGTGTTAATATCATATTTTAATGATTAAATCCTATTTTCAATTTTTATTTATATAGGCATTTCAATCTAATAAATTGAATCACGGAATGAATTAGTAGAAAGGACTAAGGGAGCCATGAAAATAGATTTATAATTTACTTGGTGTGGCAAGAAGATAGCATCAAATGCACACAAAAAAAGTTAATGTGATTTTATTGCACAGAAGTATTTCATTTCAATGAAAGTAATAGTAAAGGCTTTTGGAAGCTATGCAGAATTACTTAATTTAGATGACAGAAACTTCTTCTTAGACGTCATTTTAGGGGAAGAAAATAATTTTCTATTTCTATGCAGCTAAATAAATGAAAAGAGTTTTATTTCAGTATGTCTTATGCAAAGCAATATTGGGTCTTTTACGAATCTCACAGAGGGAACAATTTTATTTTAATTCTAGCAGCTCAGCATGGATGAAAATCGTGGAATTAGATAAGGTCTCCTTCCTATTGACTCACGGTTACTTAAAAGCAAAAGAGGAATAAAACCACAAAAATAATATATACCATATTTGGCTCAGGATGCAGCACTATGGGCACTCTGATAAAATACTTGTAGTATAATTGGTATATGTCTTCTGGAAATAAATTTGGCAATATATATGAATGCATACAGCTATCATTGCAGCAATTCTGTTTATAAGAATATATGCTAAGAACATAACAAAAATATGTGTAAAGCTATGTGTGTGTGTATGTGTTTGTGTCTATATATAGATATATATGTATGTTTACATAAAATGTATATATATAAATATAGATGATATGTGTGATATGTATAGACACAGGTACACACACACATATATACATATATACTCATATATATAACATTTATTATATAAATATTTATTATAATATCAGTCCTAAGAGTGACTAAGTAAATTATGGCATATCCATACAATGGAGTACTATGCCACCATTTAAAATTACCATGTAGATTCAACTTAAATGTTTCATATATTTCTAAATATTTTAAAACCTATTGATACAAATAATTCCATAGTGTATAAGAGTATTATCGATATTTAAATAATTGAGAATAATAACACAAAATGTGAATAGCGGATATCACTGGTTTGCAGAATTTTTTTCATTTATTTCTGTTTTACGTGTTTTCTGCTTTGGTTATACATTACTTTGAACACCAGTAATGCCATTGAAATGCCATTGAAAAATATCTGACCAAAGCTGACAATGATATCTTTGCAAGATTATAAGTGTGTGTGCAAAGATGTGTATGCTCATTCGGTGCACTTACCTTTGGCAAGGAAGCTCGTGATCCTGAACTCTGTGTCGTCATCGTCAGCACAGTGGTTATCCCCAGAGCTACCCTGGCCGGTGCCGCATCCATGTTGATCCAGAACGAAACCCAGGATAGAATAACGATTAGGAGACTGGGAATGTACATCTGGATCAGATAGTATCCCATTTGTCGCTCCAGATGGAATCGCACTTCTATACACGTAAACTTTCCTAATTGATCATAAGGTAAATACAGCAATTAGCACAAATAGGTCTTTGTTATGGCATCAAGTATCACAATTTCTTTTCTTTTCTTTTTTTTTTTTTTTTTTTTTTGAGACAGGTTCTCACTCTGTCCCCCAGACTGGAGTGAAGTGGACTGATCTCAGCTCACTGTAGCCTGCGCCCCCTGGGTGTAAGACTTTCTCCTGCCTCAGTCTCCCCAGTAGCTGGGATTACAGGCATGCACCACCAAACCTGGCTGATTTTTTTTGTTTTGTAGAGATGTGGTTTCAACATGTTCGTCAGACTGGTGTCGAATTCCTGACCTCAGGTAATCTGCCCACCTCAGCCTCCCAAAGTATTGGGTTTGCATGTGTGAGCCACTGCTCCTGACCTCACAATTTCATTTTGATAAGGTTTCTGTCATAAAACGTTCCATGATAATGAAAAGAGACTCATATTGATTCCTGAAAAAACATTTTTCACTGTTAGCATCAAGAAGCAATGCAGTAAGAGAATGTACTCTCGTAGGAAATAGTAGTAAACTTTATTACTTCTGACTTGAAAAGCACTTTACACTTGTCAAAATATCCAAAGATTTATTATTTCACTTGATTACCACAATTGCTTCTGAGGCAGACAGGAGAAACAGATACTTATTATATAAAGATCTTGTTTACTCATTGACTGTTTCTGATGCTTTGAGTGCTTCTTTAAAGCCAGGTGCTATTTGTTCCAGAAGTCTTTCCATTTTCTTTAAAGTAAGTGCTAGAGGATAAATACAATTGAACACGAATGATTCCTTGAATAATAAAGCAAACAAGTAGGAAAATATATGTTATTTCCCATTAATACTTTTGAAAATAAAAGCACACTTACTAAAAACAAGTGGGATCCATTTGTAGTAGATACGTATGCTTTTGTGTCTCTATTATTTACCTCTATTTTGGTGAGCAATACGTGGAGGAGTAAATGATGGTTTAATAAACATTAGGTTGATATTTTTTGTCTGTGTCCTGTTCTACTCCCTACTCTATTGATATTGATTTATACTACTCTATGTTATCTCTCCTTTATAAAAATTGTTCTTCTAAATCACCAAGTTCTTGGTTTAATTGTTTTTATTTGAATTATTTTAAGAAGGATGAGGTCAGAAAGTTATTCTGCTCTGTAAGTAACATTCTGTTAGTTATCATGAAAGAAAGATGTTAAAGAGCAATTGCTGTCCTATTGCTAGGTAGGACTCAGTGCGAGTGACTTGGGCCATGCGTGCTTGCACAGGTGAGGCAAGGGCGCTATATCTGGATGAACCCATGCATGTGTTTCCAGAGCTTAAGTCTCAACAAAAGTTCACAAAGTCTGGGAAACGTAGGTTCCACTCTTAGGCGAATAGTAATCAGAAACATATGTGCAAACCATACATGATCCTTTTATCAATTTGTCAAATATATACAAAATGCCTAAAGATTCCTGAAACATATGAAAATACTTTAGATTTTAAAGTGCTATTAAATATAAAGATTTAAATTTTTCTATGAAAAATAATGAAATGGAATAAAACAAGAATAACTGATTCAGGTGATTCTCAAGGAAAAAAATAAGCTCCATTGTGTTTTTATTTAAAAAGAGTGTTTTTCAAAGTTCAGAATCACTAATCATCAGAAAAATGCAAATCAAAACTACAATAAGTACAATCCCAGCACTTTGGGAGGCCGAGGCGAGCGGATCATGAGATCAGGAGATCAAGACCATCCTCGCTAACACGGTGAAACCCCGTCTTTGCTAAAAATACAAAAAAAAAAAAAAAAAATTAGCCGGGCGCCTGTAATCCCAGCTACTCGGGAGGCTGAGGCAGGAGAATGGCGTGAACCCGGGAGGCGGAGCTTGCAGTGAGCCTAGATGGCGCCACTGCACTCCAGCCTGGGCAGCAGAGCGAGACTCCGTCTCAAAACAAAAACCAGTAAGATATTCTCTCACCCTAATAAAATAACTACTATCAGAAAGACAGAAAACAACAAATGTTGATGAGGAAGGGGAGAAAGGGGAGTACTTGTACACCATTGGTGGGAATATAGATTAGTCCAGCTACCAGAGAAAAGAGTATAGGAGTTCCTTTAAAAAGTAAAAGTAAAGGTACCATATGCAATACTGGGAATATATCCAAAAGAAAGAAAATCAGTGTATTGAAGAGATACCTGTTCATTGCATGTTTGCTGAAGCCCTATTCACAATAGCTAAGATAGGGAACCAACCCAAATGTCCCTCAGTGGAAGAATGGATGAAGAAAATGTAGTATATATACACAATGGAATATTATTCAAACAAAAAAGAATGACATTCTATCATTTGCAGCAACATGGATAGAACTAGATGATAAGCCAGGCATAGAAAGACAATATCATATGTTCTCATGCATATGTGGGAGTTAAAATAATTGACTTCATGGTTGTAGTAAAGAGAATAGTGGTTTTGAGAGGCTGAGAAGAAGACAGGTGAAGAGGTTGGTGAGTGGGTTTAAAAATACACTTAGAATGAATAAGTTCTAGTGTTCAATAGCATAATGAGGATAACTACAGTTAACAATAATTTATTGCACATTTCAAAATAGAAAGAAGAAAAGATTTGGAATGTTTTCAGCACAAAGAATTGATAAATATGTGAGGTGATAGATATCCCAGTTACCCAGATTTGATCATTACAGATTTCATGTTTGTATTAAAATATCACATGTACCTCCAAAAACATGTACAGCTATTATGGATCTATAAAAATTAAAAAATGTTTTTATAATATTGCTGGGAAAGAAAATAAAGGGATACACACATGAACACAAATATACACCATTGCTTGTATATAAATAAATATACTTAGTGTATGTGGATCTGAAGAGATAAAAGAACAAGTTGGACAAAATATCGATCACTTATGCATGGCAGCAGACCCCAGAAATATAGTGATCAACAGAATCAATGTAATACAAACTTAAGACAATGAAGGAAATATGCAATAAATAAGTAAACATAAAATTGAATGATATAATTTCAGATGGTGAAAGCAGAATTTGGGCGTTTAACACTTATTGTGACATATGGATGTTTCAAGAGTTGGCATTTGAATAACCCTGAAGGAAGTGGGAGTATTAGACCTGGAACAATTTCGGGAAGAACTTTACATGCAGAAGGAAGAGCAAGAGCAAAGGCCCTGAGACAGACAGAGATGAGTCTGGAGTATATAAGCAAGCAAGTCATTGTGGCAGGGTACTACAGAGCAAGGGGAAGAGAGATAAAAGATTTTGGAGAAATTACTAGCAGGAGACAGATAACGGGATACTGTAGCATATAACTAATAAATACTTCAGGATAGTGAAAATACAACTGAATAAATCCTCTAATTTTGTGCAATTAATTTGTATATGAAAACATTTTTAACTTAAGTGTGTTTCATTTTATGGGAGGAAAGGGTATTTTATAAATTTGGTCTTAGGTAACCTAGTATTGTTGTTTGTTGTATTTTCACAAGTAACATAAAAGACATATGTGGAATCTAGGCCTATTATTGGAAAACAAAAGAAGATTCTTGTGCATTGTAAAAGCAAATATGAAATGGAGTCTGGAATCTGAAGCAAATTAACCACATACTTGAATGAGGACCCTAGGAGATGCTTTCATTCTCTACGTAATTTGGGCAAGTTATTCTGCTTCTGGACAGTACAGTGCTTCTAGAATGTAAAGTTGTAAGATCTCTATGATATCTCCCAAGATGTCCCATTCCTTGCTTACGGTAGGCATTCATAAATGTAAGTTCTTTTCTTTTAAGCTGTAATAGCTCATTTGATAACTCAAGGAAGTATGCAAACTTACTTTACACTAAGGAAGTGTCTCCAGTCCCTCTGTCATAAAACTTCATCCGTAATTGATGTTTACAACTTCACCTCTTGTTCTGGGTTAAATGGTATCTCCCTAAGATTCATGTCCACCCAGAACCTGTGAATGTGAACTGACTTGAAAATAAAGTATTTGCAGATACAATCAAATTCAAATGAAATTGTCCTGGATAAGAGGGGGTCCCAAATCCAACATTACTGCCGTCCTTATAGAAAGAGGGAAATTTGGACACAGAAACATAGACACCTGGGGGAATCCCACGTGACTCTGGAGGCAGAGACTGAAATGATGCATCTGCAAGCTGAGAAACAAGGTTTTCCAGAAATAGGTAGTCAGGAAGAGACAGGGAAAAACTCTTCCCTAAAGCTTTGAGGGAAAGCATGGCCCTGCTGACACCTTGAATGTTGGATTCCTAGCCTCCAGAACTGTGAGAAAACACATTTCTGTTAAGTCACCGTTTGTGATAGGTTGTTACGGCAGCGCGAGAAAACTAATGTACCTCCGTAAGTCAACTCTAGGGGAGTTTTAGCGTCTGTCTAAGGGAACTGAGCAAGGACGGTACCATTGACTTGCCTGCTCTTTGTCTTTGTGTGGACATGTTAAACTTGAACTCCCTAATAAGTTAGATAACAGCTTCGTCTCTGAGTGAAAAGGAAAACAGTGGTGACTTTTTGATTAGATATTGTGAATTTGTTAAGGAGATAAGAGAGACTAAGGACTTTGTATAGTGATAGGTCAGAGCACAGTTCTGGAAAATGCTGAGTCCACGATGAATCACAGTTACTGTAATGAAATGATAAGAACAGCAGCTGATGCTAGTGCGAGACCATGTAGTCACCACAATGGAATGATGCCTCAATCATTCAGAGAATGGAATTCTCTGAATTCCATTACTTTCTAACTGAATGCATACATTCTAACTGTATAGTTAGAATATTTCTTATGGAAATAGCCCACGTTAGTTAAAGCAACTGAACAGAATTTGCCGATGTGCAGATACCACATTGAGTCTCTAAATTCTTAGTGTTGATAACTATATCTGATATTTATCTCAAGTGTCTCAGTGTGAATAGTAGGTGCTTAGGTAAAAGTAACACTGAAATGCATGAAAATATGACAAAGGAAGAAGTTAGGCAACAAAGCTTTTCTTTTTTTTTAGCGGAAACAGTGTTTACTGTCCAAGAAAGGTCAAAAACACATTTTATTGCTCACAGAAATTAAAGGAATAGTTTTGGAAACATTATTACTATGTAATCATGAGCTTTTCATTGAAAATTATTTAAAGATAATTGAACACCAAGCATTACTTTGGTCTCATACAGACCAAAACATAATATTACATTTAATAATATGTAATGAATCAAAGTATTGATAGGTTTCAAATGCATCCATTTTCTGCTATATGCCTATGAAAAACGATAATCTAAGAAGAGTTAAATAACTTAGCATTATAATGAAGAAACGTCTGGATATCATAAAATCACAAGTAGTCGGTGTAAAGAACACTACTCAATCCCTACCTGTATTGTAATGTTTAGTGCAGTATCGTAAGTCTTTTTCTTCTTTCAACAGAAACTGGGGCAAAGTGAGTCCTTCTGCCACTTGTACAGGTGCCTCATCTTGCCATTCAAAAATGAGATCATTCATTGTGTACCCAACTAGGCAAAACATAATAAAAACGTGAATAGTCTAAAAAGGGCATTCAAAGAAAAGAAATACAAATTACTTTATAGTCACATAGGATGAGAAGACCAACCAGTGTCATCTTATAGTAACTCTATGGATGGAGCTATTCATTGCCCAATTCCATTTCATAAATGTCTGTGGAATCTATTCATGTGGAACTCCCACCAAATAATATGAGAAAACAAAGTGGACTTATTAAAAGTATACCATGGCGTGTTGAAACATGAAGGGACATGCATATACATTCTTTCCTTGGGATGGGTATCTACTGGATTAATTTGGTAATTTTTATTTTGATTTCATTCTATCTGCTTTCTCCTTACTTTGAAATTATTCAGGACTTTCTCAACAAAAACTGAAATTGTCACTTGTTAGCTTGTTAGAAAATGGCTTTTTTTTTTCTTTTCTTTTTTTTTTTTTTTGTGAGATGGGATCTTGCTCTGTCACCCAGACTGGAGTGCAGTGGCATGATCTCTGCTCACTGCAGCCTCTGTCTCCTGGGTTCAAGCGATTCTTCTGCCTCAGTCTCCCGAGTAGCTGGGACTACAGGGACATGCCACCACACCCTGCTAATTTTTGTATTTTTCATAGAGACAGGGTTTTACCATATTGGCCAGGCTGCTCTCAAACTTCTGATCTCGTGATCTGCCTGCCTTGGCCTCCCAAAGTGCTGGGATTACAGGCATCAGCCACCGTGAACGGCCAGAAAAATGACTTAAACTTAGTGTAAGAATAAATGTCAGAAATCTCTTAATTATATCCAGATTGTTCAAGGATTTAGGCATGTTAATTTTACTTCTGTTGTGTTTCGAACCTCTCCAGAGTTGCATGTAAATAGCATTTATTTCTGTGCACTTAAACCCAATTAGAAAATATCTACAAAGTGAAAGTGGAGAGGAAATGGAAATTTATGTTTTCGTGAAGATTTTGATACACATTTCATCATTTAATGATTCATCAATTTCTTACATTAATTTGAATTAAGCATTTAATTCAAAGAGAGGGGAGCATTCATTATTGATATATATGGACTTTAAAAATTTCCATCCTTTATCAATAAAGAAAACAAAGTGGACTCATTAAAAGTATACCATGACATGTCAAAACTTGAAGGGACATGCCATGGTATACTATTTATAAATAGTCAAGGTTTGGGCCAGACAAGTTATATTTTCATCGTGGAAAAATTTCAACTCCTTAAGCCATAATGTTGAATAGAATTGGAGTATTTTCTTTAGAATTTCTTGAACAGGCAAATAAAACTTTATTATAGAATGCATGTATTTTCTTTTCTCTTTGGAACATCTACACCAGTATATTACTGACAGCTGTTGTATTTAAAAAAAAGTATATTTTCACTATCATAAAGGATTGTCTTTTCCCCCCTCATGAAAATAAATAACAACTTGGGGGAAAAAAACACACACAAAGAAAATGACTTAAACTGTAACATCTGTGGGAGGGAAAGTACTACCACATAATACCTCCTTCATTTAATCATTAAACATGGGACAGTTTGTGGAGATGGAAACCCTTGCACATAATATCAGTGAATTCAGCACAGAATTGATTAATGGATTTTGTAATAGGTCAGCAGCCTTTAGTAAACTAAAATTTCCTATTTCTATATGGGAGGTATCTAAGAACTGCAGAATTTTATCTTTTCCTTCCCTCTGAGTGAGAAACTGTTGAAATGTATGTTTAAAGACTACTGCAGAAAATAAGTCAAAAGTGAATGGGACCTGTGGGGCAGAACTGTTGTTACTTTGATCAATGAGTTTCTTGATGCACAACAACCACAGAGGTAGAAAGAGAGAGGAGGCATGGTGTGGCCTCTGACCTAAGTCAAATGGTCGACATGTTAAAATTAGTTGGGTGCAGTGGCTCATGTCCGTAATCCCAGCACTTTGGAAGGCTGAGGCAGGCCAATCACCTGAAGTCAGGAGTTTGATACCAGCCTGGCCAACTTGGTGAAAGCCTGTCTCTACTAAAAAACACAAAAATTAGCCGGACGTGGTGGTGGGCACCTTTATTCCCAGCCACTTGGGAGGCTGAGGCAGGGGAATAATTTGAACCTGGGAGGCGGAGGTTGCAGTGAGCCAAGATCGACCATTGCACTCCAACCTGGGCAACAGAGTAAGACCCTGTCTCAAAAAAAAGAAAAGGCAGAAGCTCCAGGTCTGTGAAGCAGTACAGAAGGGAAATGGTCCCAAACAAATTCTCCTGGAAACAAGCTTGTATTGTAGGGAAGAGGCTATGTGAGTGGCTGGAAACAATTGGCATGGAGTAGGTTAGGCTGAATAGAACACTGAGTAGGGAAAGGAACTCATCACCCTCCACCCTCCCCAATACCTGGGAAAAACTCTCCCAGACACAGTGAAATCTGATCCAAATGTGGTGGTAGTGACTGGAACCAGATGCCCTACCACACTTGACCCTTAGGTATACCTCACAGCACCCACGCCACAGGCAGTGGAGATGGTAGTAGTAAGAGTGTCACTGACCAGATCTCTTTGGACTGTATGTGATTCTGCTGCTGAAGTTTTCAGCAGAAGTATCGACAGTGTGAAGGCTCATTATGGAGCAAGCACTATTTGGTAGAGTTTGTGAAGTCACTGAAATTGAAGGAAGTGTGCATCTACATCTGAATTTTGACTCTGGAACAGATGTGAGAACCTGAAGGACTGTCCCCTAGGCTGATGGATTTAACATGGCAGGGACTTAATACTTGCTTATACTAGAATACATTTATTTCATTGACCCCTGCAATTAATAATGATTTGATTGGTAATAATAGAAAGCTTTCACTTTCATTCATAAGTCCTTTAATATGTCCATTATAAATACCATTTTACTGAGAAAGTAGATGCACATTTCTCAAAGATTTAAGGATACTAAAATAGGCACCAATTCTACCTCCTGCCAGATAAGACATGTTTCTCATTCTTCCATACCTATAATCACTGAAGAAAAAATATGTTTGATTGTGTCCCAATTTAGACAGATGAATGGAAAAATGACCTGAAACTTCATTTTGTTTTTATATTCTAAAATTTTCTCAAGGTGTTCTGTGAAATGAAACTAGCTTTATGAAATTCCTTCAAAGACAAGCTTTATTTAGTTGCTAATACAATTTATAGACAGTATATGTAGCTCGCTTTTGTTTCAAATAGTCATCCACATTAGTTTAGGTATGTGTATTTCATAATCACACTATACTACTTCATTATGGTTCAAAAAGTACTTAAGTTTGAAACCGGAAGGAAGATAGTAAGAGACCATAGTTAGAAGCAATTTCTTTATTTGAGTAACTTACTGGTTGTTAATGATAACAACTAAGTGGTAATATTGTCTCAACAAACTCTCAGACATAATTTTAAAAAATCAATACTTTTTTACACAATTCAAAATGTTTTAAGATCCTTATGCTGTTGGTTGGTAGATCTTTATACAAGTCTGAGAATGTTAAAGAGAACAGACTGGTTAATGAGATCAAGATTGTGAGCTGAATTACCTTATACCACAGTAAGCTTCCCAATGAATACTAATTTATTCAGGGAACAGACATTAACTCTAACTTCAGTCAACAACCTCGTATGGTAACTACCAAAAACATGTAAACAAATGGCTCAGTGCAACCAAATGCTTGTTTTATCAAAGAGTTGTTCACCGAGTACCAACTGTATGGAAGGTGTCCTGCCAGGCTTCAGGCAATGTGATATATTATTGTCGAGTAAAGAGTAAGTGGCATGGGAGAGGCAGAAAGTGCTGTGTCCTTTTAGCACAGGGTTCTGTGATATCTACCTAGGCCTCATTTGAGCTGGATCTTGAAAACAAGGCAGAGCCTGCATATAAAGTATGCAAAAGGTGAGGCACTTCAGGCTCAAGCAGCAGCAAAATCATTTGAAAGAAACTGCGAACTCCCAAGGTTTATAATAGCAATGGGAACAGCTTCATTTGTCTAGAGCCAGTTTGCATGAAGAAGCATATAAAGTGACAAATAATGTAAGATGATGTTAAGTTTAAATTTCCAGTTTAAATTTTGATCATTGGACTCTTTTGAGCAAGTGGTGAACCACAAAAATTGTAACTGAGTAGCATCACTCTAGCAGGGTTCTTTCATGGAATTCACAAGGTCAAAACTGCTTTCATAATCATTTGCCTTTTTCATTGTGTCAACATTTGCCCTGATGTTGAAAAAACAATGGTGGGTAAAACTTCTAGTGGTTTTGCACAAATAAAGGGGCTGGCACCAAACTGTGCTAGGAGTTACTGTATTTTGTACTGCCATATCTTGCAGTAAAAACAATCCCATTTTTATTTATGAATGTCTTTGATCCTTTATGAAACAGTCAATATCTTATAGTAAAAGCAATGCCACTTTTAATTCAGAATGTTCTTGATCTTTGATGAAGCACTAACAATGATCAATTTTATTAAATTTGGACCCTATGTAAGTACCTTTTAATATTCTGTGTGTCAAAATGGGAAGTCTGCACAAAATACTCAGCTGCAGGCTGTAATATGATTCTTTCAAGGAGAATCATTGGTGTCTTTGAGTTGCAAGCCGGAACTAGCTTGGGTTTTTTGTGAAATACTATTTTTTATGTGAAAAAAATTGGTGGAAACTGTGGTTACTGTGCCTAGGTATTTGGCAGACCATTTTCTCAAAGATGAGGGAAGTGAACTTATCTGAACTTGTCATGTTAAGGGAAACAACAGACAGTATTTGCTGTCAATGATAAATTTTGAACTTTCAAGTCAAAATTGGAATTTTGGAGAAATTGTTGTTACACCATGCGCTTGATAGCTTCCCAATACTTAAAGATTTTTTGATGGCCTTGATGGTGACATCAACAAATGTGATATTTTGATGTGTACAATGAAGTGTGTCAGCTGTTTGGAAGATCTAAATAACTCATCAATCTGATATTTTCAAAATGACAAAAACATGTTTAAAAAGCATACACGA